CTCTTGCCGCCACGTTGGACGCCTTTTTTTGCTATGGGGGGAAGTGCTGTGGGATGTTCTGTATGGCAAATGCGTTGCTGATTAGTCAATAAATAAAACACTGATTGGCCATTGGCTAGGCAGGAAGTGTAGGCGGGACAAGGAGGAGAATAAAGCTGGGAAGTGGAAGGCTGAGTCAGAGAGACACTGCCAGCCGCCAAGATGACAAACAGCATGTGAAGATGCCAGTAAGCCACGAGCCATGTGGTAAGGTATAGATTTATAGAAATGGATTAATTTAAGCTGTAAGAACAATTAGCAAGAAGCCTGGTACAGCCATACAGTTTGTAAGCAATATAAGTCTCTGTGTTTACTTGGTCGGGTCTGAGCGGCTGTGGGACTGGCAGGTGAGAGAGATTTGTCCTGACTGTGGGTCAGGCAGGAAAACTCTAGCTAAACCTTAGCATTCACCACAGGGAGTTGAAAACTTCTGCTCACATGAAGTCTGCCCACGGACGTTGCGTAGCTTTACTCACCTTTGCACAAGACGCTCTTCAAGCCGAAGAGCAGATAAATAAACCGTGGTGTCTCCCGAGTATAGACTATCACTCAGCTCTGAAAATGTGGGAGGATGAGCCATGAAAAGACAAAGAAACTCAAAGCAGTTGCTGACTGAAAGAAGTCAATTCAGAAAGGACAGTGTGTTGTGTGATTCTAACTACGACACCGTGGGAAAGACAGAAGGTTGTGGGGTGACAGGCAGGGGTAATTAGATGGAGTGCGGGGCACTGGAGGGCAGAGAGCTGACTCTGTAATGTAATGGCAAACACATGCCCAAGCCTATAAAATACATACTACCAAAAGGAAGCCCATTATGGTTTGAATCTGAACCATTCCCCAAAGGCTTATCATTTGAATGCTTGCTCCACAGCTGAGGCTGTGGTGTGGGAGGCTGTGGAACCCTGAGGGGTGGGGCCTCGCCGGTGGGAGTAGGTGGCTGGAGTTGACCCTTTGAAGGCTACCCAGGTCCTGGTTCCATTGGTACTCTGTTTCCTGGTCTCTGGTGCAGTGAAGAGCCTCCACCACATCCCCGCTACCTTGCCCTCCAGTCATGGTGACTGGCATGCTTTGAAAGCATGAACCCAGGGTCTGAGAGGAAGCATGGTCAGCAAAGCGCTTGCCTTGCAAATATGAGGACATAATTTCGACCAGGTAAATTGAAGACCATGCAAAAGTGCCAGGCATGGTGGCGTGCACTTAGAATTTTAGTGCTGGTGAGACCGAGTGACGCCATCGAGAGGAGACGAAGATCCCCCAGAGCCATGCAGCTGTGCAGTCTGTCTCCGGGCAGAGCACCAATGGTCCCTTGTGGCTGGAAGGTCCTCAGGCCTGGGAAGGTTATTTTCCTAGGGCTTGGAAGAATGATGACGTCATCCTTGGAATGAGAAAGGGCTGAGGTTTCAGCAAAGAGGTCTCCGCCGCTCTCCCAGAAACCTGAGCTATGACCCTAAGGTCCCTGCACAGAGGAATTGTCTCACGTCACACCTGGAGATGGTGTCTCTCTCTCAGGACAGTAGGTACCAGCTCCCAAGCACTGAGGGTTCTGCCTCCCAACATTGTCTAAAGGCTCTCAGGAAACATCACCCAGCCCTTCCTAGGCAACAGCTCAGGCAGGGTTCTCTGTGCTTAGAGAAATATCCTCAAAGTTACCACCAGGGGGCACCTGCACCCAGAAGTCCAATGCACCTGTAGAAAGACAAATAAATAAATAAATAAATAAATAAATTCCAGTATTTTTGGAAATCTGTGTGATATGTGGCCACTGCCTTACTGACCCCAGGTAGACACAGGGATGGAGCTCTTGCAGTGACTGCTCTGTATCTCTCCTTTTCACATTTAGATTTGTTTTATGCATCCATTGGCTGCACGTACAAGAAGGAGCCAGTCCTATCCATTCAGAGCACACGCACATTTCCTGGGTGCTCATGCCCTCCAGGCTTTTGCTTATCTTCTTCCCATTTGTTCCCATAAAGAGTCACCTACTGATGAGGACTCACGATAGTCTGCCTGGCCTATAGATTCAGGCGCTGGACTTGTTGGGGCTATTGAATTACGATAGTGTCCTGAGGGGACCCACATCTAGATTCAAGGAAAAAGTTAAGTCATTTCCAGGGAAATGGATGCAGCTGGGGGTACTTGTATTGAGTCAAATCAGCCTCAGAAACACAGTGTTGTAGGCTTCTCTCTTGTGGTCCCTAGATTTTATGAAAATACAGATGACTGGGTGTGTACTTGAAGTAAGCTGTAAAACTGTCCACGGAACGAAAGGACCCAAGGGGCGGGAGGGGAAAGCGGGGCATGGGGTAGGTGTGCACACAGAGTACCTGATACAGCTGTGTGGACGAGTGCTTGTACAGTGAACATTCACCAGTCTAGATATTATCTAAAGGGGCAGAGTAACAAGAATATCCTTGTCATTTGCAACTTGGCTCTTCATGGCTTAGTCTACTTTTTTTTCCTTTTCTCTTTTATTATTTTATATAATATAATTTTATTACCTTTTCCTTCCTCCAATTCCTCCTAGATGAACTCCACCTCCCTACCCAACTAACTTTATGCTCTTTCTCTCTCAAACACACACACACACACACACACACACACACACACACACACACACACACACACACAGAGTCCATTCTGTGTTGGCCAACTACCCCTGGGTCCTGGAGTGTGGTTGATTTACCCAGTGACACTCCGTTGGAGAACACTGATTTCCCCTTCCCACCAGCTATCAGTTGGTTAGGGGCGGGACTTTGTGTCCACTTCCCTTCTCTCTGCTGGGATTTTGTTTTTTAATGACCTGGTCAACTCTAAGGGGACATCTAGGTTTACAGTATGGATGATTTTAGTGACCAATTTTTTAAAAGAAATTGGCAATACTAAGCACTATCTCATTCAAAATTATGTATGAAAAATAAAAGCATCAGCTTGGAGTCCTCCTTCCTCTTCCACAGTGCTTACCGAGTCTTTGTGGCCGGTGATGAGTTCCCTTACAAGTGCCATTTTGTTCCTCCCTCCCACAGCCAGGAGGCCTTGCTGTAAGGAAGCAGCCAGAGAGGGTAAGGACCGGCATTTGAGAAAGCAGAGGGCCTGTGGCTTTCTTCTTCAGCAACCAGAGACCCTGGGTGCATCCTTGAACCTCAGTGTCTGACTGTTGAATACCTACAGCTCATTTGGCTCACGGCTTTGGGCACTACAAGCCCGTGACCAGGCACCTCATCAACTCAGCCTCCGGTTAGGGCCCCTGTGGCTGTCTCATGGTGGATGGCATCATGGAAGACGTACATGAGAGAGGGAGAGATCACCAGGCAAGACAGGATGACAGAGAATAAGGAGGGGCAGGTCTTACTCCTTTTTAAAAAATTATTTTTATTTTAGTGTATGAGTGTGTTGCCTGAATGTGTATTAAATATGTGCCTGGTGTCCACAAAGGCCATAAGAGGGCATCAAACCCTCAAACTATAACTGAATTTACAGACAATTGTGAATCACTATGTGGATTGGGGCCTAGGTCCTCTGTAAGAGCAGCGTGTGCTCTTAACCACTGCGTCATTTCTCTGCCCCCATCCCTACCCCCATCTTACTCTTTTATAATAACCCTAGCATTGGAACTGGCTGAAGTTCCAGTGGAACTATATTAATCCTTCCCAAGGACAATACTCTCAGGAACCTAATTACCTCTCAGTAGGTCCCACCTGTTACAGGTTCTGTCCGCTCAATACCACCACAGAGAATGACGCTGCTACCAGCCTTGGCGAGGAAATCATATCCAAACCAACATGCTTCCTGTGAGGTGTGGTCTGGGGAATTCTCACTCCCATCAGTTCTTATTGCTCTGATAAAATACCTGACTAGAAGCAATTGGAGGAAGGAAGGCTTCATTTTGGCACAGCTTAAAATTTGTATGTATGTGTATGTGTCTGTGTGAGTGAGGTATGCACAAAGTGCAGATGCCTGCAGACTCCAGAAGAGGGCATCAGAGCCTCCTGGAGCTGCAGTTACAGGCTTGTGGGCCACCTAGCATGGGTGCTGAGACTGAACTCAGGCACTCTGCAAGAGAGTAAGTGCTCTTGACTGCCGAGTCATCGTTTTATTAGGCTGTTTATATCATGGAAAGTTTTTCTTTCTCCTTCAACTATGGCAGATAGTTTTGCTGGATATATATATGGCAGATAGTTTTGCTGGGTATATTAGTCTAGGTTGGCCCCTGTGGTCTTTTAGGACTTGGAGTGCATTGCTCCAGGCCCTTCTCACTTTCTAAGTTTCCATTGAGAAATCAGCCATTACTCTGATGGGTTTTCCTTTATACGTGACTTGTGTGTTTTTTTTCCTCTTACAGCTCTCACTCAGTATACTTTCTTTGTATACTTAGCATTTTAACTACGACATGCTGTGGGGATTTTCTTTTCTGATCTTATCTATTTGGTGTTCTGTATGCTTCTTTTATTTGGAGGGATATGTCTTTCCTAGTTTGGGGAAGTTCTTTGATCTTGTTGAAGACCAGGTCTATTCCATTGACTTGAGATTCTTCCCCCTCATCGATGCCTATCATGGTGTTCCACATTTCCTGTATGTCCCTTTCCTGTAGGTTTTTTGGGTTAATTTTTCATTGCTTATTTATTTTTATTATTTATTTAGGTATTCCTTGCTTATCTAGTCTAAGCTCTTTTTCTTAATTTCATTGAGCTGTTTCATTCTTTTTTTTTTTTTCAACTGCTTGAATTCTTTGATGAGGTTTATGATTGTTCTTTTAAATTCTGTGTTCTGGAGTCCATCTAGGTAGTTCTCATTGGCAGCAATGAGATCTGTGCAGGAGTACTTATTCTCTGTCTGATGTGGGTGGAAGACAGGCTGCGTGGGCGGGTTGGGTTGGGCCGACGGGTTGAAAATGGCGTAGGTGGAGTGAAGTCAGGAGACAAGGGACTGGGCTGGTGTGCCAGATATGTGTCCTGGTCCAAGCCTGGAGTGTGTAGATCTGGCTGGTTGGATGTTCTGGGGGAGGGGCTGTTGGTCTAGGCAGGCAGGTCAGGCTGGGGAAGGTGTGTGAAGGGGAGCGATCAGGCAGACTCACAGTTGCTTGTAACTCTAGTTCTAGAGACCTAATCCCTCTTCCTGCCTTCCTGGGGCACTTGACACACTTGGTGCACACACACGTATACACGTGAGATAATAAAGAAGTCTTTAACTTAGAAGAAAATAAGGTGGAGAAGTGACTGAGGAAGACAGTTGACATTGACCCTGACCTCCATGTACACCAACACACACACGCACACGCACACGCACACACGCACACACACACGCACATACACACCAATAAAATCAAGTAATAGTAATAGTACTTAATGGTTAAATTAGTGCTGGCATGTGAAAATCATGACATGTCTTGGTTTGCTTTCTATTGCTGTGATAAAGGCCAAAATCAAAAGTGGCTTGGGGAGAAAAGGGTTTATGTATCTTCTACATCCCAATTACAGTTCATCACGGAGGGAACACAAAGCAGGAACTCAAGAGGAGCAGGAACCTGGAGGCAGGAACTGAAGCAGAAGCCATGGAGGAACACTGCTTACTGGCTTGTTCCCCGTGCCTTCCTCAGCCTGTTTTAGTCTACACCATAGGACCACCTGTCCCCTGTGGTGGCTCCGCCCACAGTGGGCTGGGCCCTCCCACGTTAGTCATTAATCAAGAAAATGCCCTGCAGCTTGCCTAAAGACCAGTCCAGTCAGGGCATTTTCTCAATTGAAGATCCCCTTCCCTAGCTTGTCACAAAACCCAACCAGCATAGGTGAGAAGGGTGCTCCCTGGTGACCAATGTCCCCTCGGAGGCTTTGTTCCCACATTCTTGATCAGAGATGATCTCTGATTCTCCACCTTGACACACTGTGCACTCATGGCAGTCCCACACTCCTCCTTCCACAGCCACTGGGGCTCCCTGTGAAGCCCCCCAAACATCTCTTCCTCTTCCAAATGGATCACAGTGATGTGAATACAACAGCCCTGGGGCACGGCACGGCGAGGTGGCTTAACTGTTAAGAGCATGGACTCCTCAACAGGGTACCTGGGTTCAGTTCCCAGCACCTCCATGGCAGCTTAGAGCCACCGTAACTCCAGGGGATCCGACACCCTCTCCTGACCTCCACAGGCACCAGGCACCAAGGACACTTACGTATATGCAGGCTAACAGTCATACACATAAAACCAGAAAAAAAAAAAACCTTGTTTTTCAAAAAAGACAACACAAGATCATGTTTAAAAAGCTTTAATTAAAAAATGTTAATACAGCAAAAGGCACTGTCCTAACAAAAATAGCGTGTGCAGGATATGGACTGAGAACCTACGAAGAGCTGAGAACGGTCCCTGGCACAACACTGACCCTCTGTGTGTGTGCAATCGGAGGTTACAGCCAAACAGGCAGGTGACCTTTGGAGGTTCAGGTCATTTCTTACTTGCCTCTTCCCTTCTGCCTTTTAAATAAAAGGGGCCAGAAGAGATAAGGAGTCTGCAGCTGGGTAGTGAGTGTGAGGCCCAGTCGTCCAAGGGCAGATAACGTCAAGGCCTGGGGATTTCCCTGCCTTAAAAGGCACAGAAATTCCTGTGGAGAAAGGAGCTGGTGACAGGAGGTCTGTAAGCCAGGAATATCAATGTCACTGTGTCACAAGTCACAAGGTCTCTGGGTGGCTCTCCAAACCTTCCCTCCAGCCTGGGCAACAGGAATCTGTTTGGAGCAGAGTTTGGCTCACACAGGGGCCATGGATGCAGCAGCCACAGCTGGATCCCAGGGGCTCTGAACCCTCAGGACAGCAGGGAAAGCGATCCTGAGCGTCTTGGGGTGGGAAGGAGTCGAGCATTCATTGGAATTCAAAGGACACTGGGACCCAAATAATTAGTCAAGGACAGTGGCAATTCAGAGGCTAACCCACATCAGGGTTCTGATGTGGAGATGCCCCCTCCTCCCACGCACACACGGGAGTCACTGCTTATTGGGAAATGAGGGCTATAATCATCAAATCAGACAGAGCCAAATGTGTCTACAGGAGCACAGTCAGTGCCGTGTGGGAGGTGCTTTTCATTAGATTGTGGATTAAATCTTTATTTATTGTTGTTTTATATGTGTATGGTTGTCTGATGACTTTTTACGGTCTGTCCTTTCCTTCCACTGTGGGTTCTAGAGATCAAACCCAGGTCACCTCTATACCAAGCCGTCTTGCCGGCCCTGTGTTCAGCGTTCCAGAACTTGCGTCTCACTGAAGTGTTTCACACTCTCCAGGAGTGTCAGCGGGTGAGGTTTCAGGGTGTCATGGTACTAAAGGTCCTCATATCTCAGGTGGTAGCTGGAGAAGGCTGGCACTCAGGGCGCTGCTTCCCCATGCCGGGGGCTGAGATGTCTGTGTCTGTCTGCTCTGAACAGCGGCTCTGGGGCCACCCCTCTCCACTCCACTCCCACAGTTCCGTCTGTCGGAGGGGGAGGGGCAGCCAATACTGCCCTAGCTGGCTAGACGGTTTTATCAAAGTCTCCCCAAGCAACAGACGGGCATTGTCCTGTGTTCTCAAGGCCGGAGTCTGAAACGAAAGCTTGGGAGGGCCTCGTGTCCTTGAAAACGCGCAAGGAGAATTGCTCCTCGTTTCTGTCCCGAGTCCAGTGGCCATCCATCTTTAGCACTTTGGCTTTGATCTTTGTCCTCCAACCTCTGCCTCTGGCATCTTGTAGCATTCTCTTTGTGTTAATCATCCCTCTTCTTAGAAGGGCAGGAGTCCTACCAGAGTTAGGACCCGCTTCAACCGTTCACTGAAACCTGATGGTGGGTAAAGACTCTGTTTCCAAACAAGGTAACTTTCACTAGTACTGAGGGTTGGAACCTCAATGTGTCTTTTAGGAACATACATCCAAGTCAAAGCTGTCACCTCAAGGACCCTGCCACATCAGTCCCATGTGTTGCCAGTGTGTATGTATACACCTTCCCCCGGCCCTTTGCGATGGTGGGACGGCCATTTTTCCTCCAGTGGTAACTGTGCACCTTGTCCATGGTATCTATTCTGAAGAGGCCCTTTTTCTACTGTGTTCCAGCCCTATATATAAGAAGCAATTTCTATCCAGATTGAACTGTGAGGGGTGTGTGTGTGTGTGTGTGTGTGTGTGTGTGTGTGTGTGTGTGTGTAAGGAATGTAATAAGGGAGGAGCGGGAGACAGGAGGGCAGGAGGATAGAGTCACAGTTGTGAACAGAGGGACAAGGACAGAGGGGCCACTGTGTTTGGATACTGATTCTGTGACTTTAGCGGAGACCAAGATAACAGTGGCTGCAGGGGCTGTGGGACAAAGCTCTTTCTAAGACCCTGACAGGCGGACGGTGCAGGGAGGTGAGGGGTCCTGCTTCATCCGCACCACCCGAGCGAGGGATTGCTGTTCCTGTCAGAGCTGCTCAAGTGTACCAATGTCCTTAAGGGGGACAAGGAAGATGAAGGGCACACCCTTCCCTCTTCAAAGGCTACTTACGAACTGGACCATGTCCATATCTTCTGACCAGAACTTTGTCGTGTGACCCTGCTAATGTCGAGAGATTTGGGGAAACTCGGCTTGCATTCTCAGAGGCCCTATTGTTGGGGACTCTGCTAGATTAAAAAAAAAAAACAAGGGTAGGTGCTGCAGAATAAATTGATCATCCATTATAGAAGAAATGTGATTTTAGAAAACGTGTGTTATTAATTCATCCCTCGATCCTTCACTAGCAAAGACTCCAATGGCACCCCTACAGTAAAGACTATGACATGCATGTGACTAGAAAGACTGTCCCATGTGGGTGGGGCTTGTCTACTCCTCACTGGCCGTGGGGTTCGGGAAGGTGTGCGGCAGGCTGCTCCACAGCCGCCTGGTTTTCAATGACGTAGCATGCTCTGCAGCTCTCCAGAACGCGGGCCTGGAAGAACGCCTTGTCTTTCTCCTGCCAGGCGTCTGACTCGATGTACACGTTGAAGGGGTCGTGCGAGTGCTCCAGCTTCTTGGATCGGATGTAGCTCAGCATGATGCCCAGGGTGAAGAAGCCGAAGAAGCCCAGCACCATGAGGATGTAGAGCGCTTCCAGCTTGCTGTCATCGTGGAGCTGAGACCTGCGAGCCAGGCCTGACGCGTCGCCGTCCTGCTCGGCTGTCTCCTGCCACAGCGTGGTCAGGAAGGGCAGCGCAGCCGTGGAATTAGACAGGATCATCCTGGGCTTCAAGGTTTCCCCTGATGTAGAGCGAAATTCCTGAAAGGAAAATGCAACTTGAACTCAAGCAGTGTGAACTGGCCACCTCCCGCGCCGTGCTCACAGCTCTTCAGAGTCTCAGGTGACAGAGGGAGTGGACAAACTTCCTTCTGTGGTCTATACATCGGGAGTCTCATTGGCCTCTCTTGGTCAATCAGCTGATAACTTGACTCACTTCAGTTCTACCCATCATCCCCTCAACTCTCTGGGGCAGCCATTGGGATGAGCTTCGTCAATGTATGTTACTGCATACACATATATGTGTGTGTGTCATAAATGACATGGGGTCATGTACCTCATTGGGTCTCATTCCTTTTTCCCTTATTACTGTCTTTATGGCCCATTCATAGGCTGTGCGCATGTGCATTTCCTTACATGCAACCCACGTCCATGTCGAAACACTCATTCCCCTCTCTGCCCACTCCCCACAGAGGTGGACACTATGGTGGCCACTCCATGAATAAAGCAGATGGCCTGGCAGATCAGCTCACTGGGTAAAAGCACTGGTTAAAGCCAGGCCTGAAGACCTGAGTTCCATCCCTGGGACCCATGTGGTAGGAGGAGAGAACTGACTCCTGCAAACTGTCCTCTGACCTGCACGTGTGTGTGTCCCCTCCCAACACACACAAACACAAAATAAATAAATGAATAGATAGATAGATAGATAGATAGATAGATAGGTAGATAGATAGATAGATAGTTTTTAAAACTTTAAAAAAAATAAAAATGCACCTGGTAAGCAGAGGCAGGAGGATCCCTATGAGTTTGGGTCTACAGAATGAGTTCCAGGCCAGCCAGGGCTAGTGAAAGTCTGTCTCAAAAATAATAAATAAATAATAAACAAATGAGAGCTAATCAGCCTCGTGCTGGTTCTGTGGACCTGGAAAGGAATTATACATCCCTACAATAGTTCTCGGTGGCTGTGGTGATAAGTGGGGATCTCCCCTACAGGAGATGTACTTGAGCGCTTGGTCCTGGGCTTGTAGTGCCCTTGTGGGAAGTTGTAGAACTTTTAGGAGGTAAAGGCACCGTGGAGGAAGCACAGCACTTGGGGAGGGCTTGAGGGCTTATAGTCCCGCCCACTTCCAGTTCACTCTCTCCGCTTCCTGTGTGCAGATGAAGAGGTGACCTCTCAGCTTCCTGTTCTGGCTGTCTGCTGCCATGCCTCCCTCACCACTGTGGACCCTCCCTCTGCAACTGTAAGTCAACAGAAACTCCTCCATAAGTCATTTTTGGTCATGGTGTTTATCACAGCAACAGAAAGGTGACTTCAGAGGTTTATGTGACTCCTCGGACTGAGGCACAGGCAGTCACTTTGGGAAGGAATGTGTAACCGGTGGTTGCTGTAAGGTGAATGCGTCCCCCAAAGGCCACAGGTTGGAAACTTGGTTCTCAGGGTAACAGTGTCGAGCAATAAGACCACTGGAAAGTAATTGTATCATAAGGATGCTGCCCTCGGAAATGGATGAACCCATTTATAGATGAATGTGTTCTTGAGGGAGGGGCTTTACTACCCTTGAATTTCTCCATAGATATAATGGGTTATCCATGGTGAACTTGCTGGGTCTAGCTATGTGATGCCCTCTGCCATGGTGTGGTGCAGTACAAGGTGCTTGCCAGATACCAAACACGTGACTGCACCACACTGTTGGACCTCTTCAGAACCATGACCCGAAGAAAGCATTATCCCTCATAAACTACCCAGGCACGGTGCTCGGATCTATTGAGAGAATGGACTAGGAGGGTCTGTTCCACCATGGATGTCTCTCTAGGGGCAGCTGTGTCCGCTGAGTGGAAGCCCTACCCTACAACATGGCGGCCCGTGGACTGAGTGCCGAGTTCACCAGCACTCTAGTTTGAGGACCTGGGTTCCAGTATACTCACCTTCCTTCTCTGATCACCTACCTCCTGAGAATGACTAGCAGGGCCATGGAGAATACATCGCTTCTTCTGTCCCTTTAGTGTCTCATCTGAACACCCAGGCTTGGTCATTGCGAGAAGTGTCTCGAGTAACTGTAGAATTCTGTCGGATGGTATTTTGTGTGTTCTAAGAACCCTGTCTAGGTGACCATCAGATCTCCGATAAGCTAAAACTATTTCTGTTCTTTTGGGGTGTGTGTAGCTGTGGGTGTGGATGTAAATACCACCTTCTACCTCTCTCTTCTGTTTGGAAACAGAAACCTAGAGATATTGAAGTCATGCTCTCAGTTCAACTCAAAAAATGGCCACTAGGAGTTTACCTGGCTTGAGGTGGCCCAACCTCATCTCCTAGGAGTCTCAGGGTAGTTTTTAGTAGAATGTGCCCATGAGGTATCCTTAGCGATAATTGTAACTAGAGGCAAAGGCATGTTGGGGACACGGTTTCTGGCCAGAATCACCAAGAAAAAGACAATCATACACCATGGCAGTTCAGCCTTTCCCAGGGAGAATAGGACTGTGACATTGACCAACATCATTCCTGGGACAACCACCAACCCCAGAATGCCCAGCCCTCTCTAGGTTAGACCTATGGCTACTTCTTTGTAGAACTCGCTGAATTTAAAGATGAACCTGAACCAGCCCCAGGTGAAGATGTCTGCACCTTCTGAACCTTCCTTGCCCTCCCACCATTGACGTGCTAGTGGCTCTCCCTCTGCCTCTCCTCATGCCACTCACCCTGGTGATCACATCTGCTCCTTCAGAATCATCCACACAACTGTGACCCCAGATCTCCTCTCTCAGCACAAGAGCTTATTAAGAGCTCGGCTTGACGGGATCGGGAGACACCTAGGGTATCGGTGAAGCACACCTCTGGGTGTGAGAACCTTTCCAGAGATGAGTAGATCATGCAGGCTTTGGCTTAATGGATGGGGAAATCCATAAATGGATTCAGAATTTGAATAGACTGACAGAAGGTGGTAGACCTGTAGAGCTGAGGCTGAGCTGAAGAACGTGGGTTGTTGTTGCCTTTGAAGGCAGCATTCCCCTTGGCCCTTTCCCGACACTGCTCACTGCTTCCTGGCTGCAGACAGGTGAGCAGATCTGTTTTACTGTGTGCTGCTCCGCCTCACCTCAGCCCAGAACCCGTGGAGCCAAGCGACCACGGATGGAAGCCTCTGAGAGTGTGAGGCAAAGCAAGCCCTTCCAGATTGCTATCTTGGTGTTGGTCACAGTCGCAGGAAATGGTTGACACATGAGGCTGTGGGGTTTTCTGCCTGGCTTAGAAGTTGCCCTCTAAGAATTTGTGGCTTTAGGTTTTAAGTTTCATTTTACCATGGTTGACCACTTTGGCTCTCTTTCACACTTTCTGGAGAGAGCTGTCGTAAACAAGAAACGGAGCTCATCTTTCTGATTGCTAGCCGTTTGAATATGTGCAGAGGCCTGTTGGGGTGGGGAGGGTTGACAGGACAACAAACTACCGATTCCTCAACATTCTGACGACGGGGACAGGCGGGAATCATCCAGAAACAGATCAAAGGTCAAAGTTCAATGATTTCTTCTTAAAGGAGTTGAAACCATTTAGGGAGTCTCAGGCCCCATCCCCCAGGGCAGAGCAGGCATTGAGCTGATGGTATGATTTTATCCATCCACACTCCAAAACCCCAGAGTGACCGCGCTGGCACACAACCCTACTACCAGTTACTACCAGGGAGCTCTTACAGACCAGTGTCTATGTGGTGACGGCCGGTAACACTGGGGGACCCAAATGTTAACTGGTCTAGAATCAATAACTCTACACAGGAAACTAATTTCAGAGTCAATTCTGTATTTAATTTATACTTGTGGGTTTGCTGAAAAGACTTGTTTCTTCAAACCAGTTAGAAATTACTATGGCCAGAAGAAACAGTCCCAAACGTCTGTTTCAACCCCCCTGGGCCCATAGCACCCTTCCTTTCCTGCCAAGGTCCTGGTTTAGCATGCCCGAGAAGCACCTGTGAACTGTGGATTGCTGGGCTCCCCATCCAGGGTTTCTCAGGACTGAGGTGCAGATTGGGAATTTGCATGTCAAGTGCCTTCTGAGTTCTGGGAGCTCAAGCTGCTGCTCTGGGCACCAGGCTGACTAGCTTTGAGAAGCTCTGTGGAGAGCTCAGAAAATGATGACACCTGGATCCCACCTCGGCCATTTTAATGATGTCGCTCTGGGTTTCCGACGCAGACTTTTAAAAAGCTTCCCACTATAGTTTGACTGTGTCCCCCAGTCAGTGCTGGAAGGAATTCTCAATGAAACAGTGCTGAGAAGCACAGTGGTTAGAATGGGTGCGGGGCTGTTGATCCCACTCTGTCCTCCCCCTTCCACTGTGGAAGAGGGTTCGAGCCAGATGTGAGCAGCCTGGGCCTTTCAGCTTCCAGGACAGGAAGAAGGAATTTTTCTCTTGAGAGCGTCTCATGTAGTCCACACTGGCCTTGAACTTACTGTGACCTAAGGATGACCTTGAATTCTAAAGGTCGTGCCTCCACCTCCCTAGTGCTAGGGTCCTATTATGTCACCACGCCTGGTTTATGTCTGCTGAGGACTGAGCCCAGGGCATTGTGTACTAACAAGGCACTCTACCAAGAGAGCTACACACCCAGCGGGAAACGAACTCCTTATGCATTATTAGGCCTAGGTGTTCTTTGTCACAGACAGAGCCCTGTACCCCCGACTGACACTAACAGTCAGGTCTGAGGCATCTGGGCTGCGCAGTGGAAACTTAGAAAATGGACTGATGTTTTGTTCTACAGAACCCCTGGCAGAATTCATTGTCTGAGCTATAAAGCATGGTTTCATGGTTGAATGTTCACATCTTCCTGGGTTTCCAGATCTTTCTTGGTCTGGCATGCTTCTCCAGAAAGTATCACCTTCACCGTGCTCCTGCTAGCTCACCCTGGCACCTTAAACTATGGTTAGCTTCGTGCTAGGCCAGGAAAGCCAGCTTGAGCACCTGTCTTTCAAATAACAGCTCCACAGGATTATGGGAATTGTTCCGTACTCTACACGAATGCATTCCCTTCGCTGACTGCCCTCTGTAACCCACAAAGCCCGCAGGTGGCTCACCGTGATGCTTCGTATGCTGAGGCTCCAAACGACGGTCCTGGCAGAAAGGACACAGGGTCCAATGTGCCTGCCGTGTGGGGGCTTAGGTCAGATTCCCCAAGTTCTCTCCCATTAGTGTCAGAGCACCCCAGCCTGGGGGCCCCGGTGTCCAGACTGGTGGACTCAAATGGGTGTGGAGAGCAACTGACCCAACAGTTGTAATTTACAGAAAACTGAGCTCCATAGTGCTGAGGTGAGTGACCCAAGCGATCTCTCCTATCAAAACATGTGACATGTCATTTTTTAGCTACCAGCTCCCATTGTATCAGTACAGAGAACAGTGTTCCCAGGACCTTGGAGAGAGGAGATGGACGCCTTAGACTCGAACTGGAGAGCCAGCCACTCCTCAGGTCTAGTTGGGTCTCACACGTGAGAACTGGCTTCATCCCTAAACCATGAGAAGTTGGCCCCATCTAAGTTCTCCACAGACACCTCTGCCCTGAGAGAACTGTTGGTCTGAGTCACTGACTGGTACAGACCAGCGAGGCAGCATCGAAGGAACCGGGAATGCCCAGTTCAGACATAACCAACCTGGGGCTCGGCCTGGGTTGGACATTCTCACACTGGCACTGGCTGCGATTTCTACTCATTTCTGCAGATGCTTGGGCTTGAAGCAGGGGCCTGGTCCCAGTTAGAACAGTGCAAGTGTGTTTTTTCCTTGAAAGTTTGGACCCAGAGCTGCAGGCCTGCTGGGATTCAGGACTCTGGGAAGCCGAGGGAAACTGAACAGCTGTAAGTGGAGCCTGTGAGGCCCCCACTGCACCCCTCTGCCTTAGTGGAACCTGTGAGGCCCCCCACTGCACCCCTGTGCCTTAGTGGGGCCTATGAGGCCCCCAGTGCACCCCTCTGCCTTAGTGGAGCCTGTGAGGCCCCCAGTGCACCCCTCTGCCTTAGTGGAGCCTGTGAGGCCCCCCACTGCACCCCTCTGCCTTAGTGGGGCCTGTGAGGCCCCCAGTGCACCCCTCTGCCTTAGTGGAGCCTGTGAGGCCCCCAGTGGACCCCTCTGCTTTAGTGGAGCCTGTGGAGACCCCAGTGGACCCTGTGGAGACCCCAGTGCACCCCTGTGCCTTAGTGGGGCCTGTGAGGCCCCCAGTGCACCCCCTGCCTTCCTGCCCCCGCCCCATATGCTCTTGCTAGGTTACCTATCAGCACCGATAACAGTCTGGAAGCTTCCAGAACAAAGGCTTTCCCAACACTGGCAACGTTCTGAGGACTTGAGGTTTGCTCACTTGGCAGGGCTTTCTTTTAGCAGTTTAGGCTCCAGGATAGACAGGAGAGATGGGGGTCATGGCCAGAGCTGGGGCCTGGTTCCTGTTGCCCCTCTCAGGTTTGGGAGAACCAAAGAGCTCTCCCCTAATCACTCCCTTATCTCAGTGGAGTGGTGTACATTCTTGTTCTGACTGACAGGATTCCTGAAGCATTTCCTCGAAAGAGCACTCCTTAAACAAGATGCAGGGCTGAGTCACCAAAGCCTTCCGTGCTAAGCAGCAGACTGAGGGCGACTCCAGACAGGCCTGATGTGGGTGACTATGACCTTGGCTGAGCCTAGAATTTACACCAGTTGTCCTTGGAAGCAACTGTCTATCGCTCGTGCCTTCCTTTCAACTCCATGTCCAAATTCTGGAAACACACATATGCTACGTTTACCCCTCATGAGGGGCCCTCCAGACTCTCCAGGGCTGGCATTGCCTTGCTCTTCATCTCTCCCCGGGGACGAGGCAGACAGGGCTTCTCAAGGAGTTAGGACAAAGTGTGGAGACCCAGAACTATTAGCCGCAAATGGGGAAGCCGCTATCTGCCACCACCTGACTGCACGTGAGCTGCAGCCTCTGCATCTGGTTCTATTCCCCTGGCTTTCCCAGACCTCCCCACGGATGACAGACACAGAGGCTGGCTGGGGAACGGAAATGCAGACATGGAAGATTCAACGAGGGAGGAGTGTGGGAATTTTGGATAAAGGACAAATGACAGCAGAAGTCGTTTATCAGGAAGGAATCAGGAATTGTACCTTCAGCAAATTAAGTAAAACCAAAGAGTTTCTCCACCTAAAAGCTTGGGAGGGGAGCTCTACTCTGCCTATATGCACACACCACAGGGTTGTATGCAACATCAAATAGCTATGACTTTGCCCCTGCTCTCCTCGAGAGCGTGGGCAGGACATCTCTGTGGCAATGTGCTACAGGTCCTTCAAAGGCTAGATGGAATGGCAAACTGCGAACACCCACCCAGTCTCCCCTGTTTTGGCCCCTCATGGTGCCAGTCTCTCTGCCCCACAGTTGGAGTAGTTTGCAAGTATATTTGGGCATTTCCTCCCAGGAGCCTCTCACATCTATAGACTCTTATCTGCCTCCATTCCCTACTCCAGCACTTAGATTATTTCAAGAAGGAATTGCTATGTAAACAGAGCTCAGGGTTAGATCCGATACCACTGCAGTGAGAGGGTGAATAAGTGAATGAGTGAATAAGTGAGAAAGCACATTGCATTCTGGGAGTGAGCTCGCTACAGGAAAGCCTCTGGCAACACAGTATGTCCTCCTGTTAAAATTTAAATTGTTTTTTATTTTTATAAATCTTTTGCATGATATAATGTTTATTATCTATATTGCTATATACATGGATCTGAAACTCACCTTGTCTCTAAAAAGTTTTAAGACTGCCAGTAATTATTAAGATAATATACTTTTGTCCCACATTCCTTTGCTCTTTTCCGTAGTATGATTGAATGTTATCATAGTATGGTATCGTTTTCTTAATCGCTGTGTTCACTGTTGAATGTGTATCTTTCCCACCCAAAGGCAAGCCTTTAGAGCAGATCTTTGCGTGTGCTGTTTTTCATTCTGTCCAGAACAGCTGGAACCAAGGCTGCATCTGGTGGGAAATGCAGCAATCATTCATCAGAAGCAGGCTTGCATGCATGAATGCATGGATGCCTCCAAGTTCCATCTGACTCGCAGAAAGAGAGACCACACCAGAGTTGGCTTACCCCAGAGATGTAGATGACGTGTATGAATCTCTCTGAGGTCCTCAGTGCTTTTGTATTTAGGATTCATTCCCAATCCACTGTCACAGGCAAGCCCTGTGGGTGATGTCTGGGCTGTTTCCTTGGGAATTTGGGGTGCCTTCCTCGCCTGCTGGGAAAACCCAACAGGCGAGGAAGGCAGAAGCTTTGGGCCCAGCCAAGTCTGCCTGAAATTCCCATTACCCCCAAGAACTCAAGCAGCGCCTGAGAACTCTGTAAAAGCCCCACCTCCCCGGCCTCAGATGGCAGCTACAGTTAGTCTTCCTCCGTGGAGATGGACAGACTTCTTGTGCTGAAGTGAGCTCTCAGTCCACACAGAGGCATCTGAACAGCCCAGGGTGAGGTGCTTTAGAGGACCTCAGGGGAGTGGGGTTAGGCACACACCAGGGCTGTCACCTAGCTTTCTTCTAGAAGTTTCCCGTTCCCTCATTACTGCAATCACTATCAGATATCAATCATGTTCTCCATGTCCCGTGCCTTTCCCATGGGAAAAAGGCCCAAACCCAGGAACCCTCCTGATCAAAATAATTAAACAAGTAGCTGATAAAAATAAAATCAGTCTCTTTGTGGCTGCTGCACCTTTAAGTATTGCTGAGCTGGGGGTGGGGTGGGGGGTCTCTGAGGCTGAGGAATGGGGTGGTGGTTTTAATTTTCTTTTGATGCTTTAAGGTATTTTCCAAATTTTCTCTGAGAATGTCTATGAGTTAATAATAAAAGCAAAATGTTTTCCTATGACTTTCCTGTAAGTGAAGACAGGCTGAGAGGAGTGTGGCTCGGGGTTGAATCATGGCCCCAGTATGAGGGGCGTCTGTAGGCCAAGAGTGAGACACGGTCCCAGGAGGGCATCTGTCCCAGAGGCAGGAGCCCCGGACTTACCCGGGTCTGGAAGCGGAGGGAGCCGGGTGGGCAGCGGGGTTCAAGGCGTGTGCTGAGGCCGGGATCCTGGAGCCCTGGGCGCCCTGTGCAGTGCCGCTTGGGGCAGGCGGAGCCTCCCCGAACCCGCGGAGGGGAGGCTCCAGCCCCGCTCCGCCTACACTCGCCGGCCCAGGTGCCGGAGGTCACCCAGCCCACCCCGACCCTGCACCCAGCGCCAAGGGCGGGGAGCACTTTGAATCCAGCGGGTGGGCTCAGGGCTGGCAGACGGTCTGTAGGAGAATCAAGAGGACAGACCCGGGGCAACACTGGACAAACACCCCATTAATCAGCTCCAAACATAGTCACCTCAGGGATGGCTCAAAACCTCTCCAGATTCCTTTCCCTTAACATCCTGCCGGACCCCTGTGGCCCTGCAGCTAGCCACTCAGCAAGGCTATCTTGAGTATCTACTTACTGAGTGGTTGGTCCTGGATGGAGAGTGCAGAGGTGCCCAGACAGTCGGGGGCTCTGCTGTGGGCAGTCAGTTGCTGGAGGCACCCCAGCCCTGGCACCACCTCCCAATTTCTTAGGCCGGTACAAACCGCCCTTCTCTCCCAGCGGGAGCAAGTCCTGAACTTCCCGGTCAGTTTTCCCAGCGTTGCCCACCAGCCGGTCAGCTGTGAGTCGGCAGGAGGCAGTCCTGGGGAGAGGGGCTGGCCAGGCTGGAGGGCGCCGTAGCAGAGGCATCCACAGTCAGGGGTGTGTGGCCTTCCTCGTCTGAGGACCACAGCCTCAATGTGTGCCTGGGAACAACCGGCTGCGTGCGAGTGGAGGCCGTCCCACGGGTCACCTGCAGCGTTCCAGGGCAACACTCCTGTTGACAAAGGCAGCTGCGAAACTGTCCTCGTGTGGGTGGCGGACTCCACACACACACACACACACACACACACACACACACACACACACACACACACACACACACACACACACACAGCCACTTTGTAAAGCACTAGAATGCCTCCAGCTTTTGACATGTGGTTTTATTCTGAGAAATCTATTCCAGGGAGAGGATCTGAGTTTAGGAGAAGTCTTAAGGATGCAAAGGTTCTTCACAATTTTATTTACAATAATTAAAATCTTGGTGCCTAAAACCAGAGAAATAATTAAGTCACGGTATATATGATACAAGAGAAATATCATATGAAGTCGCTAGCAAAACGTTTACAAGTGGGCTGTCATGTGGTTTTTCCTTGCTTGTGTGTGTGTGTGTGTGTGGAGACAGTCTCACTGTGTATTCCTAGCTGTCCTGGTACACTCTATGTAGATCAGGCTGGCCTCAAGTTCACAGAGATCCACCTGTGAAGTGCGAAGATTGGAGTCATGCAATACCACACCTGGCTCAACACCAAGGTATCTTTATGCTATTGCGTTACATGAAAAACACAGACCCTGGACTTTACGTAGAGAGCAAGACATTATTTCAAAAGGACGTAAAAGGAGAAACACCACCTGACGTCAGCATTGTCTGCTGTGGGAATACCCAAGAGTGAGTTTAGTGTTTCTACTCTGTATCTTCAACAACTATACGTACCCCAGAGAGGGAAAACAAATCCATAAACTTGGTCTAAAAATTCCTTTCTCCTCAGTGCTGTGCTGTGCTGTGTGCACGTGGTATCTTTCTGCCCACCCTTCCAAAGCCAAGAGTCCAACACAGGTGGGAAATGGGTGACGGCCGGAAGTAGCAGGTTTATCCTACCAAGCCTTTCCATGCGGTCCTTTCCTACACAATCCAGACCAAACCAGCTGCCTGGATCACTATCTCTCTCATCAGGGCGTGGGATGATGCCTCCCACCTGTCCCTGGGCATTGTGAAGGGAGCATTTCCAGAAAGGTATTGTGCCTTGCACACGGCAGTGTCTTCAGCTCTCTTCCGGGTTCTCTCTGCTCCCCACAGAATGAGTTATTACAGCACTTGACATTACCTGTTTGCCATTGCGAGGCAAACTGGAACCGGCTTCCCCGGCCATTTCTCTTCTCCCTTTACTCTTAACTCTCATCTCTTCTTGTCCTGGGTGTGATGGACAGGACCCCATCCCCTTCGATGACCATAGAACCAGAACCCCACCTCCTTTCTTCTGGGTTCCTTCACTAAAGTCATGACAGATATGGCCCCCGTCCTTCTCGATAACTTTACTTCATCCTCTATGAGCCCCTGCTTCAGTGGATGTGATGTCCCCAAACCATCATCCTCTCTCAGGAACTTCTTACATCTAGACATTCTGCTTTCTCCTGACTCTGCTCATTCTCAGGTGGCAAGTGAGTCAGGCTCAGTATATGCCTGCGGTACTTGGCCGTTCCCTACGGCGGCTGGTGTTCTTCCTGCATCAGGCTGGGGGCATCCCCTGCCCTCTGGCTTCCCCTTGGTTGTCTGCGCTAGTTAGCCTCGTATTACCTCAACAATCAGCGTAGAAAAGGGTCACTGCTCAGTGTTAAAGGCTACTCTCTGTGCTTCGCTGGACCCATTGCTTTGGGCCTGTGGTGAGACAGTGTGTCCTGGTGGGAACACAGGCAGAGCAAAACCAGTGCCTCACAGCCAGGAAACAAAAAAGACAGAGAGGGGCTGGAATGCCCCTGGCCCTTGCAGAGGCGTTCCAAATGTCTTAAAGGCGTCCCACGAGGCTCCACCTCATGTCAACAGCACCAAGCTGAGCATCAAGCCTTTAATGCACAGCCTTTGGGTATGGTTAAGCCCCACACAGAAGGCCGGGGAGCTGGTCAGTGAGCAAATTGTTTGCCTTGGAAGCATGGGGACCTGTGTTTGCCCCCCAGAATTCAAGCTTTAAAAATGTGTATGTGTGTATGTGTGCGTGTGTGTGTGTGTGTGTGTGTGTGTGTGTGTGTGTGTGAGAGAGAGAGAGAGAGAGAGAGAGAGAGAGAGAGAGAGAGAGAGAGAGAGAGAGAGAGAGAGGTGCCTTTGTAATCCTAGGGCTGGGAAGGCAGAGGCAGGAGGACCGCTGGGGCCAGACAGCCTACCTCGGTTGAGGAGTTCCAGGTTGACAGCACCTGGGAGCGGCACTGGAGGGCGTCCTCTGCCATCCACGTGCAGGCGTATACACGTGCACGTGTGCTGTACACAGATGTGCAATCCTCCTGCAAACACACACAGGATCGTGCAGAAGATCAGTGCCAGAACATTACCCATGATTCCTATGCTTTTGGGAGCAATTATCATTTCCTGGAGAATTCTGGGTCTTCTGTGAGGAACACCCGCAAACCACCAAGCTTCCTTCATCCCAAATACAGAACACAGCTGTAGCATGCTGACATTAGTACTTCCTCATCAGGACCAAGACCGGGCTGGGGATGGCACTCAAGGTCCATTCTGAATCTCCCCAAAGATGGAAGTGAGCCTCTGGGCCAGCTAGGTCATCATCTCTCCATCATGCATCCCACTTGTCTCCTCTGGTGACTCAAGTCTGTACTACCCTCCTCTTGACTACAGTCCCTCACCTAATATGATTCATGTAGACATAGGAGGTCTGCCTCAGTTTACCACCAGAGCTCCTCTGTGGAGAGTCCTACTCCTAAGAGGTATCCTTCACTAAAGCTGGTCTCTTGGCACTCTCCTGAGAGTGTGCCTGGTTTAGAAAAGAAACTGGGTTTCTCAGAAAATTGAGAATCGATCTACCTCAAGACCCAGCCATACCACTCTTGGGCATATACCCAAGGAATGCTCAACCACACAGAAAAGAAACTGCCCACCACCTTCTGGGCTTTGCAGGCCCCACTGGTCACCAGCCTCAGTCCCTATCACGACTATCCTCCAACTGAGCTGCTGAGACAGCAGAAGAGGGGCCCCCATTCTCTGCACAGCCTGCTCTTTCCCATGCGGACCTCCCTCAGGGATTCTGCCTTTCGTTCTTAGCTTTTCAACCCACCCTCTATCCCTCCCCGACATGGAGCCCAGTGCTAGTTCAGACCTCAGCCCCACAGTAGGGGGTCATTTCTTTAATTTTCATTTAATTTTTAAAATTAAAAATGGAAACATCTAGATTTCTGGTTTCTATTCTCAAACTCAAGGAATCTGGCAAGACTCCATTTGGTAAGGTAAGCCTCTCTATATACAATTTGAGGTACTCACCACAGATTCCCACCCCCCAGTCCATGTCCCTCCAACAGTGGATCTCAGCAGGCTCAGCTTGCCACGGCCTGCCTGGCTCTGTGGGGATGGGATTTGTTATTCCGTGGTAGGTCCATCCCTTTCAGGGCCCACGGACTGTAAAACCCGGGCCTGTTCCTTCCTTTCTCTCGCGGGAACTCGTTTCCTGGATACTTTGGTCTTGTGCGTTTGTTGGGTTGCGAGCACCTTTAGACTGGCCAGCTGTGTGCCATCTTAGAACAACAGTTCCGAACTTTCCCCAGGAAGTTCTTGGGAATATGAGAAAAAAAAAACAAAAAAAAAAACGAAGAAACGAAAAGATCTCTATGGCCTTTGGTCCCCCCTCTTCCAATTCACACATGCAACACCTTAACCAAAGCTGCAGAGTCACAGATCCACGGCGCTCAGTGGCAGCCACGGTAGAGCTCACGGAGCAGACAAGAGCCGTCTTTTCCAGTCACCTTAACCGTGTGCCAATGCTAGGGGACTCCGCTCTGGACTAAGGTCAACAAATGTGGCGCGCACTGCCCAGCTGCTGGACAGCAAGATGCTCATGGAAATGAACTTTCAGCGGCCTCTGCCCTGGACTTGAGGGCATATTTGCTAATTTGAAAAACCCTTGAACTACCATGCAAAGAAGTTGCAGCTGGCTTTAGACCCAGGACTGCCCTTGACAAATCACCATAGTCTTTATATTGTTATGAAAAGAACACATATCCAATTAAGAAAGCTTTTCCAAAAGAAACAACCGAGTCCCCGCCCCCTCAGCCTCTCCCCACTGCTGCTTTTGTTGGGGGAATAATGCTGGGCTGATGGGAACATGGATAAATTAATTACAGGGTGAAATGTTATTCATGGGAAAAAGGACACCAAATCTACTCACACAGGGTCTGACATTTGAACATAAACATTGCCTTTATATTTTTCCTTTTAAACTCAATTGGTCCAGTTTACCCAGACATGGGTATAATCCCTTTAAACACCATGGATTTAAAGTTGAAAAGGTAACAATATGCTGGGTGTTCTCCTAGGTCAAGGAATATGGAGATGGAGTGAGATCCACATCTCAGCTCCTTGCATGGCTGATATTATGTTGGTCTCTCTCCAATTCCTGAGAACACAGCAGCCCTATTGTTGAAGTCCTTGAAATGAAAGGACAGTGGCACCCCTGCACAGCA